TCGTGGAGGTGGGAGTCGTCCAAGTCTTTCGAGAGCATGTTCGCATTCAGATGGTGGAGGGTAGCCCGCCCGTAATCGCCACAGTTCGATCTGCGAAGACGAAGCGTTCTGGTGGCGGCGGTTTATCTCTCCTGAGTGTTCGAATGTCGGAGCTTGGGCCGAGTCAGAATAAGCTCTCATCGCTGCGCTAATGAATCGATTTTTTTTCAGAGGGGGAAAATGATAAGGAAAACATTGCGGTTGTTGAAACTATTGTGGAGGAGACGGAGGCTGAGAGGATAGCTCAGTCCAAGGTGAGCGGTGGCCTTGAAGGATTTGAATGATGTGCTTGGTGTGGTAGGAGCGGCAACCGTTAAAGCCCTCAGCGTTCCAACCGAAGATAATACCGTTGAACCCAGGAGCAACACCCTCGAAAATCGGCAAGCCCCGCAATCCTGGTGTTATCCCCGCCACGACTCCTCTTACTATGTTCAAGCCTCATCGGGTGGGACTGTCTGTCTGTTCTCGTCTCAGTCGGTGGTCAGGTTCGGCAGCTGGCGCAAGTGTTTACTGCGAGCGCGTGCGCGGCGGCAGCTCGGTCACCGAAAAAGAAGGCAGTCGAGATAGTTGCGAAGCCACGTATGAAGAATCCTATCGACCTTAGGTGGGTTAATTGGTTGGAGCTTGTTGTGACTTAGTCTTACTGTCAGGGCGCTAGGACGGTTGGATGGTGACAGTCCCAATGGTGCTTAAGATGATCATCATCGTTGTTGCTGCGGTTTCTCCGTCTATTGGCATAATTAGAAGCATGTGATGAAGCTTATAATGATTAAGACAGATAATGATGATAATCAGACAGATGATAATCAGACTGATGATGATAATCAGCACAGGAGGCCTATGAACGTGCAGTCGCACCCTTCTCTCTTCCTAACCCCCATCCGGGCTGAGAATGCTCATATTATCGTGTGTCCTAGCGCCCAAGCAGTAGAGCATCAGGTCATTATTTCGAAGATCGCGGGTTGTAGTACCCCCCCGGAGGGATTTCCACGGAATCATTTCATTTTGCACACCGCTAGGTCGCACAAGCTGTATGCAAGGGAGATGGACACAATTTGCTCCCTCTCCTAAGGTCCAACTCTCCGCGTATGACAAGAGAAGATATAATTGTAGGTGATAAACCCTCTACGCAGGAGACCCTCTCACAAGCTACCACTCCTCAACAAGGAAGTAGTGAGGCGTAATGATTCATTATAGCCGAACTTCGAGACTGTCGAATCGACAGTGTCGATACCTCTCTGCCGGCTCGACCTTACCTCAAGGTCCTAGCATTTTCCTCCCCTGAGATGGACGTCTCGGACTGAAATGTTTATATTGACGTATTTAGTTGACTGATCCGTGATTCGCGTGATATACAGGGCATTTATTACACCCTCGTTATGGAATGAAGTGGTGGGACTACAGCGCACCTCACGAATGGGACACTACGCGTGAAACTGATTCACGTATTTCACGACTGCATCTCCGTACACCTCGGGAAGCTACGATGGATTTGTTCAGTGAGCTTGTGCTCTCACTGAATTGTAATAGTAGATGGAGTTATAGTCGAAGCTTATTTGCCCGCGTTAGGCATGAGCATCGAGTTGAAAAGCATAACTGCTTCGAGTCGCACAGTAGCGTTGTACTGAAAAGTTAGCAGCTCCGTTTATCATCCC